GAGCCCATTGTTGCAGCCACTGGTAGAAGTAGTAAAATTTGGGGGATCTTGGTGAAGTGCATATGGAAATTCTTTGGACTATTTTTTTGGAACTTTTCTGTAGCCTTTACATTATTTCAAAACAAATATTAAAAAAGGAAATGTGTAGACAAGCCTCCAGACAGAGAGAAAATAATTGCTATACATATACCTGGTAAAGGCTCATTTTCAACTACATTAAGGAAAATTCACCTATATCAACAATAAAAAGAGAAACAATCCAATTAAGAAATAGTAAAAAGAAATAAAGGGACATTTCACCAACATTATGCAGATGGAGTTGACCTGTGTGCCTCCAAAAGGTATGTTGGAGTCTTAACTCCCAGTACCTGTGAATGGGATCTTATTTGGAAATAGCATCTTTGCAGATATAATCAAGTTAAAATGGGGTCCTATTGGATTAGCAAACCAAGAAACCAAACCTACTGCTGTTGAGTCAATTCTGATTCAAAGTGACCCTATGGAACAGAATAGAACTGTCCCACTGGACTTCCAAGACTGTACATTTTCACAGAAGCAGACTTTCACAGCTTTCTTCTGTGGAGTGGCTGGTGGGTGTGAACCACCAACCTTTCAGTTAACAGCTGAGCGTTTTAATCACTGTGCCACCAGGGATCCTCTGTTGGATTAAGGTGGACTCTAAGTCCAACCACAGATGTTCTTATAAGGAAAGAAAGATTTGAAGAGACACAGACAGACACAGAGGGAAGATGGGCATGTGAGATGAAGGCAGAAATTGGAGTAATGTAGCTTCAAGCCAAGGGACTCCAAGGATTGCCAACAGCCATCAGAAGCTAAGAAAAGGTGTGGAAGGATTCTTTTCCTAGAGCTCCTTCCTGTTGACACCTTAATTTTGGACTTTCTAGTCTCCAGAAGTGTGAAAGAATAATTTTCTCTTATTTTAAGCCACCCAGTTTGTGGTAACTTGTCATGGCAGTCCCAGGAAATTAATACAGGTGGCATATATAACATGAAAAATACTCAATGTCATTAGTAATCAAATGATTAAGAATGCAAATTAAAACCATAATGAGATACTAAGAAATAGCCACTACATGACTAAAGTTAAAAAGACTGCAAACACTAAACATTGGAGAGGATGTGGAACAATACATTATTGGTGGGAATGTGAAATGGTCCAAGCACTTTACATTTACAACTATTTGGGACTTTTTTATGAAGTTAAATGTGCACTTACATCATGATCCAGCATTTCCACTCCTAGGCATTTTCCCCAGAGAAATTAAAACATATGTCATTAAAATGATTTGTACACAAAGGTTCATAGCAGCTTTATTTATTATAACCTCAAACTGAAAACAACTGAAATATCCATCAATAGGTAAATGAAAAAACAAATTGTGATTTATTGAAACAATGGAGAAATACTTAGCAATGAAAAGGAAAGACAACTGATACAAGCAACAATATAGATGATTCACAAAAACATTATGTTGAGGCAAATGAGCCAGACACAAAAAGATAATTCATTTATTTATTTATAACTTTTATTGTGATTTGGGTGAAATTTTATAAAGCAGATTTGTTTTCCATTCAACATTTCATACACCTTTTGTTTTGTGACACTGATTACATTCCCCACAGTGTAACAGCTCTCTTCTTACTTCCTCCCTATAGTTACCCTTTCCCTGTATCCTTCTTACTTATGCATTCCTACCTCCCTACCTTTCTCCCTGTGCAAATTCTGCCCTTCTGATCTCCCAGGGTTGATTGTTCTAAGGAGTACATCTCCCTGGTATAGGTGTTCGGCTTGCAGGCCTGTCTGTTGTTTGGCTGGGAGTTAAGCCACAGAAGTGAGTTCAATTTTAGGCCTGAAGGGTAACACAAGGACATAGTCTCAGGGGTTTCACCAGTCTCTATTTGACCAGTAAACCTGGTCTTTTTCATTAGATTTTAAATTATGCTCCACTTCTATCTCCCACTCTATCCAGGATCTCCAATTTTTATCCCTTTCTGAGTAGTTGGCATTAGTAGTCAGACACCATCTATTCTTGTCTCATAGTCATGTAGGCTGAGGTTCTCATGGTCCATTAGTCCTTTGGACTGTTTCTGGTAATTCCATTTATATGGAGTCCTGGAAGATTGGGCAATCTACTTCTGTAGAGACACCGCCTCAGAAACCCAAGGAGTGGTCACTATGAGTCCAATCCACTTGAAGGCAGTGAGTTTGGTTTTTTTTAGAATACACTAATCTAATCCATGGTGGGAAAAAATTTGCACATCGGTTGCCTGGGGATGTGAGCAGGGGTTTATTGCAGAGGAATATTAAAGAAATTTCTGGAGTAAAGGAAATGTTCTATCTGGATTGAAATGATGGTATCACATATTTATACAACTGTGAAAACTCATTGAACTGAGTAATTAATATCTATGTATTTTATTTATGTAAATTCTCATTTGAAAAACTGTATTAAATATTTTAAAAAATCAGTGATTTCTAAAAGGTTGGGGGATAGGATAAGACTGGTAATCTTTAGCATCTGTGGGTTGAAAATTGTGGGAATTCATCCCACCAGAGTCCAACCTCAACCTCTCCCTCTTATATGACTCACTTCTCCTGGTAGTGTTATTATTCTAACAGTTACAGCCTCCTCCAATCTATATTCTTACTATGGCAACAGCAGCCCTCTAGCAGCTCAGACCTAAATTTAGAGTCATCTTTGACTCTTTTTTTCTCCCCCTTAATAACTCACATCCATTCCAGTAGCAAATTTCAACTATTCTACCTTCGAAACAAAACTTGAGTCTGGTGATTACTTCTTACCCCCTCCATAGTTACCCCATTTCATGCAGGGAATTCTCAAGGCCATCCTAGGTTATTATTATTTTTAAAACTTTTATTTATTTTTGCTGTTGTTGAGAATATATAAAGCTGAAAATAGGCCAGTTCAACAATTTCTACCTGTACAATCAGTGACATTGGTTACATTCTTTGATTACCATCCACACGCTCCTTTCCTGAGTTGTTCTTCCCCCACTAACATAAACTCATTGCCCCCTAAGTTTCCTACCTTATCTTTCTAGGTGCTGATGTCTCTTTGGTTCCATATAGATAGTTCTTAAAAGAGCACCATGCTCAAGGCAGACAGTCTTCACCAGTCAAGCTGAACTAGTGTTTGGTTTTAAGAAGACTTCAGAGGATATTTTTTGTTTAAAGTTTAAAGATTAGCTCAGGGCAATAGTTTTGGGGGTTCGTCCAGCATCAGTGGCTCCAGAAAGGCTAGGTTCCATAAGAATTTAAAACTCTGTATTATGTTTTCCCCCTTTTGATCAGGATTCTTCTATAGAATCTTTGACCAAAATGTGCAGTTGTGGTAGTTGGGCACCAACCAGTTCTTGTCTCATGGCAGAAGAGAAAGCCATTAGCTACTCATTCCATAGCCTCCTATTCCTGACTCTCCTTCTTCCTCTGTTGCGCCCTGGATGGCTGCTTGTAAGCTTTTAAGACCTCAGGCACTATACAAAGATGGGCTGGATTATCGAAGTAGCCTTCTAACGGCCCCTTCCACCCTTGACTAGCTTGTTAATTCTCAAGCAATTAGGCATACTTCTGCCTCAGGGCCTGTGTATTTGCTGTTCACTCTGGCATAGCCATCCTTGTGGTTTCCTCCCTCCCTTTCTTCAGGCCTTACTCATTTGTCACCTCCTCAGGAAGGCTTTTCCTGAATATCCTATTCAAAATTGCATCATCCCACCCCACCCCACCCGCATCTCGATCTCTCCTTCCTGGTTTATTTTTCTCCACAGCACTTATCTCCATATGACTTACTACAAATTTTATTTTTGTTTATTTTCTTTCACCCCTATCAGTCTGTAAACACCATGAGGACAGGGATTTTTGTCTCCATCCTCTTTTTTTTTTTTTTTTCTTTCCTATACCTAGAATAAAGTCAGGCACACAGTAGCAACTAACTATTTTTAGTATGATGCTAGCTGGTGTTCCATTTTCATTCATACTTTTGGAAGTAGATTCCTCCTTTAATTTGTTTACCCTAATCCTGGTGACACCCTAGCTTTTAGGAATGTGGATTTTCAGATGATCAGAATGCTGCCCTATCTTTTCTACTTATAAAACTTGGCCAATATTTTTTATTAATAATCTGCATGTCATCATTATCTAGCCTCAGGGTATTATCAACTAGAAAAAGAGTACTTGCAGGTGCTATTTCATTTTTTAAATTAGACAAGCTGTACCAGAAACAAATACTTTCATCTGTCATTGCTAAAACATATTCAAAGAAAACAAAAACAAATAAATAACTCTGTATTTCTGAAATGTTTCCAACATAAGAATTTTATTCTGGTTCTATGCTCAGTTGCAGGTACCTACAACAGACTATAGATAAAAGGAATTAAGTAAGGTGCAATAAAAATTTCCAGAAAGTAATAAAGTGGGGAATAGTCAGTATCATTGCTCTCAGACAAGTTCCTAGGTCTCAATTTCAGTCCAAACATTGGATGACAAAATTCCTAATTCAGATGGGATAATCCATTTAAAACAAGACTACAGCTGATATAGCTTGGTAATTGTAACTACACTATCTTTAAAAACATTTGAAAATCCTTTGATAGTCAGGTTAAAAGTTCTAGTGTGGAAAATCTGCCAGAAGGTTGAATACAGTTTTCTAAGTACTAGGAAATAAAATAGGATAAATAATGATCAGGCAAAGCCAGAACCAACAAGCTCAAACAGGTAGGTGAGGTGGGTTAAGGAAGACAGAGGAAGTCTATGTTTGTTACAAACAGGGAAGGTATAGGTGGGATGAATGGCTGCCTTACCTCAGTAGAGTGGCTAGTTCCACAGTGTTGGGTGGCTGAGGTTTGGGAAGCCCTGGAGGAATGCTGGTTCTCTTAACACAGTTGCCACTAGACAGCTTCTCAGTGATGGTCCGCAGCCTTTTGCTGCTGTGGGTGGCTCTGTGAAGACAGGGTGGGGCTCCTCAAGGTGAAGGTGTGGTAGTGATGGCATGAATGGCTGACTCCAGGAGTCTGGGCTGAGGACCTTCTCTGGAGAAGTGGATGCCAGCATTACTTGAAGGAATTAGAGTCCTTGTTGTACTGGGACCTAAACTGGCCCGGAAAATGAGGAATAGTCTTATGTGTACTATTCTCAAAAGAGATGTCAAGGTGTTGCGGAGATAAATGATGTTGTTCCCCTCTCACCTTGGGCTTGGGGTGTCTTTTGGGGTAGGACTCTCGAGAATCACAGGAAAAGCTGTCTGAATCTGGGGACTTCCTCTCCTGGGGATCCAGCTTCTTGGCAAGTTTCTTCTTCCTTCTATGGATCTGTTTTAGCTCTCTTAAATCCCCAGTGTCAACTTCTTTCTGTGCCCATATTATGAAAGGAGAATTCTTCTTCACCTCCTGCCTAAAGAGAGAAATTAGGGTTATCCTGGGTCTCCTGAGAACACAGTTGTGCCATGACTGCTGCTGTGTCTACACAGATGTCCAAGTCCACAGATAGTTCCCAACTCTGTCCAATGTCCTTCCTCACATGAGGAGACATTTCAGGAGTCCTGTGGACACTGATAATTTAGGATGGGGTTCACTTCACTCACTTTACTTCCACACACCTTTGGTGCCTGGGAGCCTCACATGATATGGAAGCCTTAACCATTTCAACCCTGTTCCGACCAACTCACTGAAGGAACAATGCCCAGTGGAGATACCCCTTGGCAGGTCTCAGCATACACCCTTGCCTCCCCCAAGGTGATCAACTTGGCCACAATGAATCAGTTCATTCCTGATTTATAAACTGGAGTTTGTACAATATAGTCACTTCCACACTGTCAGGTTTCTCCAATTGCCTCAAGGTGTACTGTATGAATATTTTCCCCAAACTCTAAACACAATATTATTTTTAATTAACTTTAATTAAAAACTTAGGTATGACTATGAAGTCATAAAGTTAGACTAACTATTTAGAAAATATACTGGACAAAGCTTATTTATTCAGACATGTCCTTCAAAGAAGGTATCTTGGGAACTCCATAACCTCATTCCAACCATGCCACCATAGCTTACCATGTCGGAAACTTGCCATTCTGAGGGCCTTCAGGGTAAGTTAAGGAGAAATTTTGGTTCTCTAGTGGTGCTCTTTCAGAAATAGGGATTTATTCTTTTACAGTTTAGGAAGCTAGAAGTCTGAGTTCAAAGTGCCAGCTTAGGGGGTGGTGTGAGAACCTTTTGACCTTAAGCTTCAACTCTGCCTCTTGCTCCTGGCCCACTGGAGCTAGAGACATCTCTTAACTTAGGGCAGCTGCTGGCTGCTGAGGCTGACAAACCCAAGGTCACAAGGAAAATGGCACAGTCCCAAGATTATAAAGCAACATGGCAGGCCACTAATTCAAGTCCATCAACAGTCCCAAAATCAGCAGACACCATGGCAGGCCACTGAGATGAAGACTCAGTTACACGCAGGGTCCAAGCATGCCAAAAGCTCCGGGAATCTTTCTCAATGCTTCTTACCCACTAGAAGCAGACCACATCCCTAAGGCAGCTACTCAAGTGCTCACTGCAGATTCCCCCATGGAGTTGATCACCAGTCTCATCAAGGGGAATAACTACATCCAGCTGTGCAGCCACTTGAAACCAGGCCCAGTCAAGATGGCACACAATTTAACCACCATGGGACACCAGCTGCCGCTGCTAAACTTTATTTTGTTCCCATAACCAGTTTCTGCCACCTTGATCACTTGTCTTCATTTTGAATAAATATTGATCATTGTTGCTTCAGATCCTTTTGGAAGTTGTCAGGAAAAAGAAAATGATCTGGGAAAAATGTTTTCACTATTTCCATATAAGAAATTCCATCAATCAATTCCTTGTTCGAAGGATCAAGATTCACCATATGTAGTAATTTTCAAAAATTGGCTCAAATACTCAGAGGAAATTCCTCAGAGAGATTAAAAAGTGGCCTGAGCAATAGTAGTAACATTGGGAAAAAGCCTCCTGGGAGATGACAGGCAACTTATCTTTAGATATCAGGCCACAGCATAATTTATGTGGATGTATCAGTTCTCTGATGGCAGATTTGTAAAGACTTATACTGATACCACACTGCAAGGCTGTAATCACCATGTCTGTTTTATGAAATCTAAACTCTTATCCACCAAATTACCTTCAACCATCTCAAACTGCTATCTGCCTTCAGAGCAGACTAATTTCAAATATTCTATATTTCCTTTTCAGAGGTTTTCTCTATTTCTGATGTGTTAGGATTGGTCACAGTTCAGTCTATAACCTATTGTTGTTGTTAGCTAATTGCTGTCAAATTGATTCCAACTCATGGTAACCTAAAGTGTTACAGAATAGAACTATAATTTTAATGGAAGTGGATTGCCAGCACTTTTCTTCTGTGGTACTGTTGGGTGGGTTCAAACTGCTAACCTTCTGGTTAGCAATCAAGTGCCAACCATATGTGCTGCATAGGGACCTTCTATAACCTATAACCTCTCAAAAAGAAGAGCAACAGGAAATGGGTGAGGGTAGGGAAGATTAAGTATTTTTCCAGGTAAACTAAAAGCATCAAAAGAATAAGGGAGAGTAGGAGCTTGATATTGTCTTGAAGGAACACCAGGAAGAATACCTTGGAAGGAACCCTGAGAGAAGGACAAGAAAAAACAAGAAGTAACATGTGTTTAGGAGCTCTGGTGGCATAGTGCCTAAGGCATTTGACTATCCAGCAGCCATTCCTCAGAAGGAAGGTTGGGCAATCTACTTCTGTAGTGATACGCCTCAAAAACCCAAGGAGGGGTTGCTATGAGTCAGATCCAACTCAATGGCAGTGTGCTGTGTTGCGTTAACATGTATGTAGTCCTTAGTAGGCGACTGGTCACATGGACTCCTATATGATGAAATTCTAGGGAGGCAACAATGAAGACAAAAGAGATGTCACTGTTATGGGAAGGTATAAATAATATGTTCAGTGGGAAAAAAAGCTACAAAACAATGTATATTTTCAGTTTTGTTAATAGGATTATGAATACAAAAAAATAACTTGAAATCTTTGCATCAAACTGTTAATAGCCACTTCTGGGAAATGGATTCCAGTAGAATTGTTACTTTCTCCACATTTAGAATATTGTTTACAACTGTCATACATGATAAGGAGGAATAATAAAAACTTTTATTTTGAGGAAAAATAAGAATCAATGCAGCAGAGAAAACACTCTGGAAAGACAAATACCAACATATAAATGGTGATTACTTTTGAAATGTAGGATTATGGATGATTTTTATTTTTGCTTGTTTTTAATTTCCAAATTATATTAAGTATGCATTACTTTTGGAATAAGGATAAGCAATATAGCTTGTCATCATTAGAATAAAAAGCACATAGGGATTTTGATCAAGAAAAAAATTTACCTCAATCAAGCAGACACAGCTTGGCCACTCTATTTTACTCTCCAGAATGGCTGACCTTGACCAAGTTCAAGACATTTCACAAAGAGATCCTCTCATGGGGCCAGGATGGGAGTAGGGTAGGTGTGAATTTGATGTGAAAGCTCTTATCTACTCACTTCCCATACACCTCCACTTTGCAGAAAGGGGGAGAGCGGCCATGTTCATAACTTCCAGCCAGCAAATGCCCTTGGTCAGCATGACTGGGAAGAACTTATTAAACAGCTCTCTTCCTTTTTTGGACCATTCTCTTAGTTAAATTGTTGTTGTTGTTATGTGCCTTCGAGTCAGACGTGACTCATAGCGACCCCTCCTTGGGTTTCCGAGGCAGTATCACTACGGAAGTAGATTGCCCCATCTTCCTTCCGAGGAGTGGCTGGTGGGTTTGAACCGCCAGCCTTATAGTTAGCAGTCAAGTGCCTTAGCCACTATGCTACCAGAGCTCCCTTAGTTAAACTGGGTTCTATTAATTATGTTAGGCTACATATTTGGTTGAAAAATATGACAAACAGACCAATAATGTCTCTGTGTGTGTTGGGAATGGTTGGGGACTTGGAAGACCCATTTAGTTTCCTTAACCAAGCATTAGTAGCTTGTCCTAGTTCTTGCTGGTAGCCCAAGGCCTCACTGCTATTTTGCCCTAAGTGCTTTCATGTCAGCAAGGCCTCTGAGATATATAGAATAGGAGGACCTAGTGGGATGGACACAAAATAGATGTTTGATGAGGATTGAGAGGCTTCTGAGTTTTAACAGTTCTGTTATTGTTATGTGCCTTCGAGTCAGACTCGACTCATAGCGACCCCTCCTTGGGTTTCCGAGGCAGTATCACCACGGAAGTAGATTGCCCCATCTTCCTTCCGAGGAGTGGCTGGTGAGTTTGAACGCCAGCCTTCTGGTCAGCAGTCAAGTGCCTTAGGCACTATGCTACCAGGCAGAGAATGAAGAAACTGATGAGTAAAGGCTGTTGCTATCCAAATTGCTCCACTGGTCCTCAGGGTTAACTCATCTCTGTAACTCTTTGTGTTCACTGGTCCTAAGTACCAGGGCCTCACAACAGGCTTTCTAAAGACAGGCAATGGCATTTGTCCCCTCTGGGTAATTTAGAGCACTTACAGAAGGGTTTATTGTTGAACTCCTGGGGCTCTGACCAGAAGGGACCAATGGAGCTAATGGCTTTCAGAAGATTAATGATTTCAAATGTACAGCTCCTTCTAAGGAGAAAATAGTAGTGACTGTGTGAAGTCATGAGAAGTAATTCATCTAATGGAATATCAGAGGCAGCACTGAATTTTGAAGTTTCACTCAATGACTTAATTTCACCACTTCAAGGAAGACAACGGGAGGCCATACAACATGGCGTAAAGGAAGGGGTGTGCAACAATTATGAGAATTGTAATTTCCATTGGGACACAGATTTAGATTAAATTAGATTTAGAACTAAATCCAAATGGCTTGATAGAAATTTACCAAACTGCTCCAAAGAAAGAGCCCTTTACCTACCTCTTACTGTGCACCACCCTCAGTCAGGAACCAGACTCAAAAACTTACTGCCATGGAATCGACTAAGACTCATAGCAACCCCCATAGGGCTTCCAAGGCTATAAATCTTTACAGAAGCAGACTGCCTCATCTTTCTTTTGTGGAGTGGCTGGTGGGTTCGAATATCTGAACTTTTGGTTAGTAGCCAAATCCCTCAACCACTGTACTCACTATCAGTGCTCCTTTAGGAATCAGAAGAGGGTGCTGAAAGAAAATACTCTGTTACCTATAACTGAAGGCCCCAGAAAGGTAGAAAAGAGGAAGGACAGAGGATAGAGGGCTGGACATCCAACATCTCAGTCCTCTCAGCTGTTAGAGGTCATGTATACCTTATTTACCACCCCAAAATGGGTGGTTATGGAAGATTAAATATTTAAATATTAAATTTAGTCAAATTATGTCCTGTTGGAGAGGCAACTTACAATGCATTTAGTAGCCCATAAAGAAAGCCCCAGGATTCTGTTTTTTAAATAGTCTCATTTTGTATAATGGTGTGAACACTCACTAAAGAACAACCAAAGGGAGATGACACATTCATAAGATATGTGAGAAAGAGATGCTGTTGAGAAAGAGATCCAGATGAGAAAGGACTTAACAGGAGGAAATCCCAGTGTAGATGCAAAATAAAACCTAGCCTTTATTTTGTGGACTCAGTTCTGTTAGTCTTGATCATAGAAGCAGGGGCAGATGAAGCTCTGAACTTTGGTTGAATATGACCTCTGCTTAGGAGAATTAAAAGCAGTCTCTTGCTATCAGAGAGGCCGTTAGCATCAAATAGTGGAAATTACAACGGGGATGTGAGGAGTCAGTGAAACTTCTGCTGTGTAAAGCCCTGGAAGTTAGAGTAGATAATTAGCATTAACCTTTTGGTTTGCAGCCAAGTGCTTAAATCAATGTACTAGATTATATAAAATTTGCAGCTAAAAGCTTTAAATAAGGCCTGGGGTAGTACTAAGAAAGACAAAAAATTAAAGGTAGAAATAATTGAATTTTAATTCTAAAATAGTGATTGACAATGTTAAGTTTAGTGAAAATGGACAATTACTAGATACATCTACTCATATTCCTTTACAATGTACTGTAATATGGATATCCTATTGTTTGAGTAAGGATCCCTAGTGGTGCAGTGACTAAAGGAGTCTGGCTGCTAACGTAAAAGTCATCAGTTTGAACTCACCGGCTGCTCTGTGGGAGAAAGATGTTGCAATCTGCTTCTGTAAAGACTTACAGCCTTGGAAACGCTATAGGGTGGCTATGAGTCAGAATCAACTTGACAGCAGTGGGACTGAGTAGAATTTTGAGATTAACTAAGGGGTCTATCATTTTAAATGAAACCTTATACTCATCTAGAAAAAGAATGAAAGACTGTATTGTATATTTTCAATAATTATTCCCAAGGAAAGACTCTCTCTATGGACCTATGTACACCCAAAGGAGCACTGCTAGCATCCATTAGCATTTGTTTGCCTGTTTGTTCATTTGTTCATTCCGCAGATAGTCACTGGGCACTGTCTGTGAGCTAGATCCTGAAAACTAGGATGCAGAAGTGGATAAAACCTGACTTCTACCTTCAAGGATTCATGTCTAACAGGAGCAATGGCCCTGAAAGGACATGGACAAACACAAAGGACAATTTCTATAATAAAACCCCCTGCAGGACACAATGCGATCACTTAATATACAGTGGGACTGGGATCCTAGAACATTACGTAGAGGTAGTGATGCTTGAGTTGAACCTTGTTGTCCCCTAGGTGACCGAGGCAGAGGAAGAGCATTCCAGGGACAAATACTTATTGCATGCAAAGAAAAGCATAAGGACTTGAGAGAGCATGGGTGTGAGTATAACAGACAAATCCTAAACTACAAGTAGTTTAGAATGGTTGGAGGGTTGTTAAAGGTGCCAGGGAGAAGTGAGGTTAGAGAGGCAAACATACAAGAGGCAAACCAAGAAAAAGAAAGAGCATGGAGGTGGGGGAAGGGGGAACACTGAAGGATTTTTAAGTGGGGGAGGACCGAGAGCAGAGTTGTATATGAGGAAGATTATGAGGAAGATTACTCTGCTCAGCCCTTATGGAGGATGGTCAGGACTGTGGCAGAAGAGGCTGGAGGCAGGGGCCTCAGGAAATGACTGGGATCCCAGTCCCGCTGTGTATCAAGTGATTGCATTGTGTCCTGGAGGGGGTTTTATTATAGAAATTGTCCTTTGTGTCTGTCCATGTCCTTTCAGGGCCATTGCTCCTGTTAGACATGAATCCTTGAAGGCAGAAGTCAGGTTTTAGCCACTTCTGCATCCTAGTTGTCAGGATCTAGCTCACAAACTGTGCCTAGTGACTATCTGAGGAATGAACTAATGAACAAACAGGCAAACAAATGCTAACGGATGCTAGCAGTGCTCCTTTGGGTGTACATAGCTCCATAGAGAGAGTCTTTCCTTGGGAATAATTATTGAAAATAATTGTGGTACGGCGGGACTGAGAAGTATTTGGAAGTGGGGATCAAGATAATTTGGAGACCAATAGGATGTGATGGATGAAGGACAAGAAGAAGCCACATGTAGAATTCCTATTTGGATAACTCTATGACTGGGGGTAGAAGAATGACTGAGATGGGGAAGGATGATATGCTAGCAAGTTTGTGGGGAACTATGATTTCAGTTATTGATGTGCTAAATTTGAGATTCTCTCTGTATCTTCAGGTAGAAAAATCCAGTTACTGGTTGGAAATAGTATGATTCCTAACCCATGCTGAGTAGCTGCTTTATGCCAGGCACAACAGTGATCATGTCTGGTCCTCACACACCCTGACAGGACAAGTTCAGAGAGGATGAGCAACCTGTCTAGGGATACAACATTCAGTGTGGGTGGGGCTGGAATACAGATTCAGGGCTTCATTTCCAGTGTTCTTTCTGCTTAAGTTATCAACCCTGGCTGCATATTATAACCATAGAAGGGGACACTTAAAAAGAAACCCATCCCAGATTCTAATCTCAGAGACTATAATTCTGATGCAAAAGCATAGGAGGGCAGACTGGGATGGATGTCAGAGATGAAGATATGGGACCTTTAGTGTATATAGGACTCTGGTGTTGTTGTTGTTGTTGTTGTTATGTGCCGTCGAGTCGGCCCCGACTCATAGCGACCCCTCCTTGGGTTTCCGAGGCAGTATCACTACGGAAGTAGGATTGCCCAACCTTCCTTCCGAGGAGTGGCTGGTGGGTTTGAACCACCAGCCTTCTGGTTAGCAGTCAAGTGCTTTAGCCACTATGCTACCAGAGCTCCTCTACAATGGTTAATTTGCTGCTAACCAAAAAAGTCAGTGGTTCAAACCCACCAACTGATCCATGTGAGAAAGATGAGACAGTCTGCTCCCATAAAGATTACAGCCTTGGAAACCCTAGGGGCAATTCTACTCTGTCCTATAGGGTTGGTATGAGTCAGAATCAACTTGCCGGCAATGAGTTTGGGTGTTTTGGTTTTAGTGTAAATGGAGAGTCCCTGGGTAGCACTAAAGGTTAACTGCTCAGCTACTACTGAAAGGTTGGCAGTTTGTGTACACTCAGAGGTGCATGGGAAGAAAGGCCTGGTGATCTGCTTCTGAAAGATAACAGTCACTGGAAATTCTATGGAGTACAGTTCTACTCTGACACACATGAGGTTTCCATGACTGAGCAGCAACTGGCTTGGTTTGATTAGTGTATACAAGGTCATGGAAAAATGAAGTCAGCCAGGGAGAAAATTCCTGGGGAACACCATCATTTAAGGCATAGTAGAGAAGGGGAACCTGCAAAGAGAAAACCCAGAGAGAGGTAGAGTCATGACAAGCCTCAAGAGAAGGGACTTAGAGAAAGACGGAGTGGCTGACAGTGTCAAATACCACTGAAGGAGCAAGCACAGTCAGTATGAGAAGAGTGGATTGGTTTGGGCTCATGAGAGGTTCTGAGTGGTCTCTGTGGAAACAATTTCCTTAGAGGGATAAGTGTAGAAGCCAACGCTAATAGGAAGGAAAGAGAGTGGAGATGACAAGTCTATTGAACTGCATCTGGAACTTGGTAGTACAGGAGAAGGGGGTACTAGATCACACTGCAGAGGTTTATTTATTTAGAATGTATATGCATATGTATGCATGTACATGTTCATGTAGAGGGCAAATACACTGGGAAACAAGCTTGGTTTTTGACTTGGTTTTTGAAGGTATCAATGGAGAGGAGCTAAAGAGAGAAGAGAGAAGAATCCAGGGATAACTGACAGAGCAAGGATCTGAAGCCTCATCTCCAGGGCCTGGTGGACAGATTAGCCTTGAGCAAAAGAGATACTAATTCTTTGACATCAGGGGTAAAGATACAGATTTCCACAAGTCTAGAGATGGGAAATAAGAAATGGAGGAAGGTAATATCTATTGGTTTTAAAGTAGAAAATGAGTCCATCTGGAGAGTGAAGGTTACCTCCCAAAGACAGCCTGTGGAGTACCAAGTGAAACTGGAGGATGTCTCCTGGATCCTTTCTCCAAATTCTTGTTCAAAATCCATGCTTATCTCTATTTATATTCCCTTGATTCCAAGGTCATGGTCTATGACTCCAACCTTGATGCCCATGTTTGGCCCCACAGACTTGGGTTTTTACCTGCTCTCTAGGCTTTAGCTTTTTCTTATTGACTTTGCCTTAGCCTACTTTTCCAGTTCTTAGCAATTCCTAGTGCCTTAGATGAAAATTTGTTCATCTTACTGTTATCCCTGAAGCCTCACATGCTGACATCCATACTTACCTGGTCACAGACAAGGCGGGGCCAGCACCTCATTCCTACACCTGATAGTGGGAAGAGGCAAAAGGCTGATTTGTCCCAACTGCAGCTCAATATAGTCTCTGCTTTAGAGTTAGATTTAATTAGAAGGCCTTGAATCCTTACAAATAAAAGGAGAATAATTCCTTCAGATTCATGACAGGATTGAATGCCTTCTAAAGGATCAGTAAAATAATAGTCGATATGAGATTGGAACTAGATGAACAAATAAAAGTCAGGTAAAAGATGTAATGCTGAAGGAAGTATAATCATAAAATTACATTTTAAGCAGGAAGTCTGCCTGTGTTTTTCTCTTCAAGTATTTTGAGGTCATGGATTTCAACTTAGAAATATATTAAAAATGCAAAAACATAAATACAATTCAAGAAGTAGAAAGATGGGTACACTTACACTTCTGGATCCTCTTGAATTGGGGGTGATTTTATATGAGAGCAACAGAGAGCATACTTGTTTTGGCTGATCTTAATAAGTGCACTTCGAGGGCAAAATTCCTGCAATAGTATCGAGAGAGTTGACTCAAATAAAAAATGTTCACAATTTAGATATAATTTTACCCTACCTTGACCCATTACAATAGCTACAAACCATTTTCTTATCAGGATAACATTTAGAAAGCAATTTAAATTCAGAGCCTTGGTTGATAATTATTTGCTGAATAAAAGTCATCCTTGAGTCTTTTTTTTTCCTTTCTATTCACAATCAATTGCTAAGTTCATGCACATTAGAAGACACACACATATCCATATATATATATATATATATATATATATATATATATATATATATATATACCCCTCCATATTGCTCCTTCCTTTTTATCTTTATTTCTGCCTTGGCTATCTCTTTCCTAGATAACTATAACAACCATCCCTTTGCTGAATGCCCCCCTTCAGCCCCTCTGTGTCTCTCAGAGTCACTATCAGAATTGTCTTACTATGTCACTCTAGTCTCCAGGGGTCTCACTGCCTTGTGGGTAAATTCCAAGGTTCTTCCCTAGGCTCTGGGCTTTTCCTGGGATCCTGGGCCAATGCCTCATCTCTCCCTACACCCTAGTGCATGCCTAAGGTCATTTCAATGTTCCTTAGTTTGCTTTCCCCTCTGCTGCCCAGTAGATATCCCCAGAGCAGTACCATATGTCAACAATGTTTCCTGTCCTGCTGTTCTTTCCAACTGCTTCTTTTCTGTCAGTTAAACAGTTCCAAGAAATTCTCTTAGGAGTTCTGGATTGATAAGGAGACACCCCCTTTCCCCTCTTGTTCTGTCCATACTGGATACAGTGTTCCTGTGGCTACTGGCTCTAGTGGTCTTCATCCTTCAGACTGAACCCTACAATTCATTTACCATGATCTCTCCCTGATGAAAATACCTCATGCTAGAGTAAAGAATTTACTAGATACTTTCATTCTGCATATTATGCTGCTTTTTGCTTGCCAGTCTATTTTCCAGGTATATTAAGTAGCCTATCAAGATAATACTATTTCCTTAAAAAAAAAGTCATCCATTCAAGTAATTTTAAAAATAATTGTAAGAACTTCTCTTCACCAACACCTGTGCTAGAGGCACAGAGATGAGTAAGATATACTTCCTCTTCTAAGGAGTTCAGAGTTTGGAGAGGAAGCCAATGTCAGAGCAACCCTAAGGAGGGATCTCAGCAGAAAGTCACAATTAAGTAGAATCTTTATGGTGACAAGAGCTGTCTGGGGAAAGGAGATAGGAAGGGCAGTCCTGGAAGAGGTAAAATACTGGGGGATTGGAAAAGCCCATCGTATTCAGGAAGCAGTGAGCTTTTCAGATGGGTGGAAAGCAAGCTCAAGTGGCAGGCAGAGGTCGTGCTATGTAAGGCACTGTCTGCTACTGAAGGACTAAGGACTTTTTCTTGATGATGAGAAGTGTGTGGTGGGGGAAAACAAACAGGCAAATGACGTATCAGATTTATATATAGGCATACCTTGGAGATACTGCAGATTCAGTCTCAGACCACCACAATAAAGTGAATATTGCAATAAAGAGACTCACATGAATTTTTTGGCTTCCCAGTGCATATAAAAGTTATGGTCACACTATACTCTAGTTTATTAAAGGACTCTGGTGGCACAGTAGGTAAAGCATTTGGTTGCTAACCAGATGGTCAGGGTGAACCCACCAGCTGTTTCATGGAGGAAGATGAGGCAATCTACTTTCATAAAGATTTATAGCCTTGGAAACCCTATTGGGGTCACTGGGAGTCAGAATCGACTCAATGGCAGTGGGTTTTGGGGTAATCCATTAAGTATGCAATAGCATCACAAAAAAGTTTGAAATATTTTGAGAATTGCCAAAATGTTATGGAGAGACAAGAAGTGATCCCATACTGTTGGAAAAAAGCACAGATAGATTTGTTTGATGCAGGCTGCCACAAACCATTAATTTGTAAAAAACACAGTATCTGTGAAGTGCAGTAAAACAAGGTGTGCCTGTACTGATTAAAAAAAATTGTTTTCTAAAACTTTTAGAAAAATTACAAAGGAAAATATGTTTTCAGTCTCAGTATAAAGAGGGCCTGGAATTGAACTCACTCCTGTGGCTTCCAGCCAAACAATAGACAGGCATATAAGATGAACATTTACACCAGATAGGTACATGCCTTAGAAAAATAAATCACGGGAGATTGGAAGGGCAGTATTTGTACAGAGAGAGAGAGCTCAGAGGGCAGGGATGCACAGGAAAGAAGGACACAGGGAAAAGGTAGCCACAGGAAGGAAGTGGAAAGAGAGCTGTTAACATTATGGGGATTGCAATCAATGTCATGAAACAAAATGTGTATGAACTGCTGTGTGGAAAATGAATTTTCTCTGAAACTTTCACCTAAATCACAATTAAAAAACAAAACAAAACAACCCTATAAGGCAGTTCTATTCTGTCCTAAAGGGTTCCTCCCACCTCCCCCCACCAAAAAAGAGAAGAATTTCTCAAACAAAACACAAAATGGGCAATTCATAAAGAAAAGTGGATAAATTTGACAGCATTAAAATTTAAAGCTTCTCTATCAACAAGGGTTCCATAAACAAAAGTAAAAGACAAGCAGCAGACTAGGAAAAGAATATTGGTAGCATATATCACCAAGAATCACTACCCAGAGAACATAGTGATTTCCCACAAATCAATAAAAAAAGACAAACAATTCGAGAGAAAACATAGGTGCTTAAAAAATGTCTGTTGCATGAGTTAATGAACAGAGATGTGACAAAGTTAACCAAGTTGTTCAAACTCACTGGTTATGGGTAGTGCAGAAGGATTCAAGAATGATGCTAGTAACTATTGCAGCCAGTCTCATCATTACTATTACCTAGTACTCTGTGTGTCAGACATGAAACTAGATTTTTTTTCATGTATTTTTAAGCCTCACAATTGTCATGCTATCTCCCTCTCTCTATATAGTCTACCTATTTCATATGTGATAAAACTGAGGTTCAGAGATGAGAAGCAACTTCCCCTTGTCCAGACAATGAATAAAGGGCAGAGAGAGTGTTCAATAAATCCAGATGGAGGTCTTCTATTGTTCCTGCAAAGCCTCTGTTCTTTCCACTTTATGCTTCCCCAATCATAGCATTCTTGCCTCCCCAGGGGGTGGCTCCTAGTCAGCTATGAGGTGGGGAACCAGGTAGTGATATTGCACAACACAAGGGTTGCAGAAGGAATGCACTTAGGAGAAAGGTACTATAATTGACTTTGACATGTTGAGTTTGAGATGACTGTGGCTCACCCAGAAGGATCTGTCCTGTAGGACCCAGCTGGAAAGGCAGAGTTGGCACTCAGGGCAGGCATGGGGGTGGCTGCCACTGGCACAGAGGAGGTATCTAAAGATGTAGGCCCACCATGACAGACAGGTTACAAGGAGGCAGAGGAGAGAGCTTGAGTAGACTGGGGAGACCCATGTCTGTGGGGCTGGCAGAGAAGCTCAAGTAAGGCAGGTGCAGTCCGAGGAGTTGGAAGGAAAGAGGGAGAGAGCTACGCTGCAAGAACCCAGGGAGAACACAGAACACTGGAGCCGAGAGTGAGCATTCCCAACTGTCAAATCCTGCAGCCCAGTCACACAGAATGAGAGCCAAAAAGACTTAAATGTAGGGGCTAGGAGGCCATGATGATCTTAGGGCAGAATTTATGTTGCAGAGAGGGCAGAATCCAAATTATAAGGAGTGGATGAGCAGAGAAGAAGTAGACACAGCGAGGAAAATCATTCTTGTAAGACATCAGGTGGTGTCAGGAAAGAGCTAGGTATTGCCTAGAAGAAAGGCAAGAGAGAAAAAAGCTACTTTCTGCTAGCCAGAAACCACTTTCCTAAATGAAGGCCTACTTACTTTCCGGTTGTTACACTTTAAAACTGTGTAGAATTTGTCTTCTGGAACATTCTGATTCGGAAGTGCTATGACAATGGCAGGGACATAGAAGTCAAATCCTTTGGGTATCACAATTTTGGCAAACACATAATCTCCAACCTGCAGATAAGAACACATGTCACAGCAAATATCATACTTAGAGATCTTATAGACAATATATGAATTTTAGCTTAAAACATTCTAAGATGATGAGCAAGTGGTGAGTCTAAAATCCGAATTTTTTTTTTTTTTTTTTCTCAGATTACTGAGCAGAATAGTGAGTGGCACAGTTTCAAACAGGTAAGGGAGATGAACTTGTCTGTCAGTTTGTTGTACTGTGGTGGCTTGCATGTTGCTGTGATGCTGGAGGCTATGCCACTGTCAGCAGGGTTACCCATGGTGGATAGGTTTCAGTGGAGCTTCCAGACTAAGACAGATTTGGAAGAGGCCATCCACTTCTCAAAGAACTGGCCAGTGAAAACCTTATGAATATCAGTGAAACACTGTCTGACATATTACTGGAAAACTTTATGAATAGCCCTGAAACATTGTCTGATGTAGTGCTGGAAAATTAGCCCCTCAGGTCAGAAGGCACTCAAAATACAACTGGGGAAGAGCTGCCTCCTCAGAGTAGCAAATCAAAAAACCAAACTCACTGCCATTGAGTTGATTTGACTCATAGCGACCCCTCCTTGGGTTTCCAAGGCGGCATATCTACAGAAGTAGATTGCCCAATCTTCTTCCAAGGAGTGGCTGGGAGTTTGAACCTCCAGCCTTCTGGTTAGCAGTCAAATGCTTAAGGCACTATGCCACCAGAACTCACTGATGTGGATAGAGAAAAGCTTTAGGGACCCAATTTGGTGATGTGGCACAACTCAAGATGAGAAGAAACAGCTGCAAACATCCATTAATAATCAGAACATGGAATGTATGAAGTATGAATCCAGGAAAAAAATTGGAAGTTGTCAAAAATGAAATGGAACATATAAAGATTGATATCCTAGGCATTAGTGAACTGAAATGGACTGTTTTGGGCCATTTTGAATCAGACAATCATATGATTTACTATGCCAGGAATGACAGTTTGAAGAGGAATGGCATGGCAGTCATCATCACAAAGAATGTTTCAAGATCTATCCTGAAGCACAATGCTGTCAGTGCTAGGATAATATTCATATGCCTACAAAGAAGACCAGTTAATACTACTATTACTCAAATTTATGCGCCAACCACCAAAGCCAAAGATGAGGAAATTGAACATTTTTACCAACTTCAGCAGTCTGAAATTGACTGAACATGCAATCAAGATATGTTGATTATCACTGGTGATTGGAATGTAAATATTGAAAACATAGAAGAATCACCAGTAGTTGGAAAATAAGGCCTTGGTGGTAGAAATGATGCCAGAGATTGCATGATGGAATTTAGCAAGACCAACAACTTATTCATTGCAAATACCTTTTTTCAACAACACAAATGGTGGCTATACACATGAACTTCACCAGATGGAGTACAAAGCAATCAGTTTGACTACATCTGTGGCAAGAGGTGATGGAGAAGCTCAATATCTCCAGCCAAAATAAAGCCAGGAGCTGATTGTGGAACAGACCATCAACTGCTCATATGCAAGTTCAAGTTGAAGCTGATGACAATTAAAAGACCACAAGAGACAAAATATGACTTTGATTATATCCCTCCTCAGTTTAGAGACCATTTAAAGAATATATTTGATGTATTGAATACCAGTGACCAAAAACCAGAGGAATTGTGGGATGACATCAAGAATATCATCCGTGAAGAAAGCAAAAGGTCATTAAAAAGACATGGAAGGAAGAAAAGACAAAAATGGATGTGAGAAGAGACTCTGAAGCTTGCCTTTGAGTGGAGAGTACCTAAAGCAAATGGAAGAAATGACAAGATAAAAGAGCTGAACAGAAGATTCCAAAGAGCAGTTTGAGAAGACAAAGTCAATTATTACTATGAAATGTGCAAGGACCTGGAGTTAGAACACCAAAAGGGAAGAAAACGCTCAGCATTTCTCAAGCTGAAAGAGCTGAGGAAAAAATTAAGCCTCGGGTTGCAATATTGAAAGATTTTATGGGCAAAATATTGAATGATGCAGAAAATATCAAAAGAAGATGGATGGAATACACAGAGTCACTGTACCAAAAATAATTAGTCAGTGTTCATCTATTTCAAGAGGTGGCATATGATCAAGAACCAATGGTACTGAAGGAAGAAGTCAAAGCTGCACTGAAGGAATTGGTGAAAAACAAAGCTCCAGGAATTGACAGAATACCCATTGAGATGTTCCAGCAAATGGATGCTGTGCTAGAGGCACTCACTTGGCTGTGCCAAGAGATTTGGAAGACAGTTACCTGGCCAACTGACTGGAAGAGATCCATGTTTGTACCCATTCCAAAGAAAGGTGATCCCACAGAATGTGGAAATTATTGAAAAATATCATTAATATCACATTCAAGTAAAATTTCACTGAAAATAATTCAAAAACAGTTGCAGTAATATATTGACAGAGAACTTCCAGAAATGCAAGCTGGATTCAGAAGAGGACGTGGAATGAGGGATATCATTGCTGATGTCAGATGGATCTTGGCTCAATGCAAAGAATACCAGAAAGATGTTTACTTGTGTTTTATTGACTATGCAAAAGCATTCAATTGTGTGAAGCATAACAAATTATGGATAACATTGAGAAGAACAGGAATTCCAGGACACTTAATTGTACTCATGAGAAACCTGTAAATAGACCAGGAGGCTGTCATTTCAACAGAACACGGGGATACTGCATGGTTTAAAATCAGGAAGGGAGTGCGTCAGGGTTGTATCCTTTCACCATACTTGTTTAATCTGTGTGCTGAGCAAATATCCAAGAAGCGGGACTATATGAAGAAGAATGTGGCATCAGATTGGAGGAGGACTCAACAACCTGCAATATGCAGAGGACATAACTTTGCTTGCTGAAAGTGACGATGACTTGAAGTACTTACTGATAAAGATTGAAAACTATAGTCTGCAGTATGGATTATACTTCAATATAAAGAAAACAAAAATCCTCACAACAGACTAATAAACAGCATCACAATAAATGGAGAAAAGTTTAAAGTTGTCAAAGATTTCATATTACTTGGTTCTACAATCAACACCAGTGGAAGTAGCAGTCAAGACATCAGATAATGTATTACATTGGGCAAATCTGCTGGAAAAGACCTCTTTCAAGTGCTGAAGAGCAAAGATGTCTCCTTAAAGACTAAGGTGTGCCTAATCCAAGCCAAGGTATTTTCAACTGCCTCTTATGCATGTGATAGCTGGACAATGAATAAGGAAGACTGAAGAAGAGTTGATGCTTTTGAATTGTGGTGTTGGCAAAGAATACTGAGAGTACCGTGGTCTGCTAAAAGGACTAACAAATCTGTCCTGGAGGAAGGGCAGCCAGAATGCTTTTTGGAGTGTTCATCTCACCTACTTTGGTCATGTTGTTAGAAGGGACCATTCTCTGGAGAATGATATCATGCTTGGTAAAGCGGAGAGTCAATAAAAAAGGGGAAGGCCCTCAACAAGATGGACTGACACAGTGGCTCAGGTATGGCAAGGATTGTGAGGCTGGCACAGGACTGGGCAGTGTTCTGTTCTGTTGTACATAGGGTCGCTATGAGTTGAGACGACTCAGCCGCACCTAACAACGTTGAGAACAGTTAGGAAAGAGAAAATAGTTTCAGTAGTCTCTAGACTCATAGGGAGTTTTGTGATCAGTTTGAGGAAAACTGCTTTTTAGCAGGACTTTGACAAGTGCTAAAGGGTACAGGGGACAAACAGCAAGACAGTGATGGCCTGCAAACCATATATTACAAATAGTGGTTGAAGGAACTGGGACTGTTTAACATAACGATTAAGGAGAGACATGAACAATGTCCACATATATCTGGAGACTGTGGCCCAGGCGGAGGAAAGGAGCAGGTTTATTCAGTGGTGCTCCACAGTCCTCACCTAGAACTTGTGGGTAAAAGTTATCAAGAGATAACTTCCAGCACCATTTCACAGCAGAAGGGAAATCTTGTGATGGGGCACAGCAGAGACTGCTGGACATCTGCTAGATGGAGGAGATCAGCTGTCAGTGAATCTGTGCTCTGATGTGTGTGAGGGGTCTGGCTGGGGGAGGCAGAAACAGGCCACCCTGCTATATCCTCTGATTCCTCCTGGCTCATTCTCTCCAAGAAATAAGTGCATTGGAGCTCTGAAAGATATTTCTCCTACAATCTTAGAGGCTACTCCTTGGCCTTGGTGTGGGTATAAGTATAGCCAGAGGTGGGTGGGCAGACATACAGCTTTAGGCATTTATAAGCAGATGAGAACACATCAGAACACATTAGAGGCTAACTATGCATCATGATCTGGCATCAATTGACTACAGTGTCAAGACAAGTGCTACCTCTCACCTTGTTATGGGCCCTGGTTGTGATGGTTAAGCACTACTCAGCTGTTTATGGAAAAGATGGTGAACATACCCAGTAAAGACTTGGCAATGTGCTCTTGTAAAGACTACAGCTTAGGAAACCCTATGGGGCAGTTCTGTTATATCAGGTCGCTATGAGTTGAAATTGACTCTCTAGCAACCAACAATTGCCCTAGGTAGTAAATTAGTTTTAATGTAACTTTTTGCTTTTAAAACGATTAAAATAAAGTTTCATGAGGACTAGCAGCTCATAAGGAGCTCCGGTAGGGTAGTGCCTAAGGCACTTCCTTGACTGCTAATCAGAAGGTTGGCGGTTCAAACCCATCAGCCACTCCTCGGAAGGAAGGTTGGGCAATCTACTTCTATAGTGATACCGTCTTGGAAATCCAAGGAGGGGTCGGTATGAGTTGGGTCCGACTCGACAGCACATAACGGCAACAACAACAGCAGCCCATAGCAACTCCCTTCCCCCAACCACAAGGGCCACAAGGTGCAATGAAAGCAAGTCTGCTCAGCTGTGAGCTACATTAGATGATAAGTGTCCTGAGCAAAGAACATGCATGCCATACAGTGAATGAGTCACAGCAAGGGGACCTGTGACTGCTTTTCCTACCCAAACACAAGCTCCCCACAAGCACCCAACTGGGTGCTCAGCAAAAGGCCAAACAGTGGCGCTGCCAGTAACTGTTACTCAAAACACTGTGAATGGTGAGGAGGGGTCATGGAACAGATCACTAGTACAGGTACCTGGAGCATTGGGCAGGGCATGGCACCCCCCACAGGTGTGATGAATGAGGTGGGCACAACCTTGGTGTCACCATATCTGAAGCTCACTAGTGCATGGGTGAGACTCACACATTTCTTCACAACTCCTGAAAGGAATCAAAGGAAAAAGCAAAATATAAAGAGAAATAATATCTATTCTCTTAGATTTGCCCCATCCAGTTAGCTGAACTAAATTATAACACTTGGCCTATTTAAATCAGTGCCCTCTTTGATTTCTCCACCAGGTAAAGTTTGATGCACGAAGATTGAACAGCTGAAAAAGCAGTTTAGCCTAATGCTCTGGTTAGGAGCACCCACTGAGATGGAAAGCCAAGAGAATGCACATAAAGTGGTTCACCAGCATCCATCTTAATGGGAATATCAACCCTAGAAGGAGAGAGCCACATCCTGGGCCAAACCAAAAACCCATTGCCATCGAGTTGATTCTGACTCATAGCAACCTTACAGGACAGAGTAGAACTGCCCCTTAGGGTTTCCAAGGTTATAAATCTTTATGGAAGCAGACTGCCTCATCTTTTTCCCACAGAGTGGCTGGTGGGTTCAAGCTGTCACCTTTTGGTTAGCAGCTGAATGCCTTAGCCACAGCACCACCAGAGCTTCTTCTCATCCTGGAACCTTCTGCCATTTATTCATCTAATTCCTTATTTACTGATTTTAGCTATATTTACTTCAGTAATATTTAAATATAGAAAAGAGATGTTAAATTGTGAAAGTAAAAAGAAAATACAAACTTTATCTAATATTAGATAAATAAAAAGGTAACTAGGTTAACACACCAAACAGCTTCCCTAAAATATACACACCAAAAGGAAAATAAGAAACGTTTTATAGCTATACTCAAATAGTCTATTATAATAGTAAAAAAGAAAAATAAAAGGTCTGTGCTGATATGATTTTTTTGTATCACTTATCTTAGTTGAAATTTATTTTCCCATTAAAAAGAGATCCAAATATTAAGAAAAAATTTTGACATGGATCCTTCCCATGGCAGTAACAGCTGCATACAGAATGCCACCCAGAGACAGAAATGTACACACAAGTTCTCAGTGGGCCCCTAAAAGATGTATGTCTGGCACTACCGCCCTCAGTCTCACACTTGCTTTGGCAAACTTCCATGTCTTTTTATGTGGCAAAGAGACAGCTGTGGATTTTCATCTTGAGTCCTGTCTCTTGTTTTAAATGGCCAAAGAAAGGAAAACTTTTTTAAACACACACACACACACACACACACAAACTAGTTTTCCATTGTGGGGGTGTTTTCTTATTGGACTAAAATGTTTAACTTGGTTTTTAAAATATTCTTTACATATTATTCCCACATTTTCTACCATAAACTGATTTTAACCTTTTAATCAGAAAAAGAAACAAGACTTTTTAGAAAGCATCTCTATTATGAAAACAATTAAATGTAATTACTTCTAGTGGAAGGAGCTCTGGTGGTGCAGTCATTAAGTGCTTGGCCGCTAATTGAAAGGCTGGCATTTTGAACTCACCAGCTACTCTGAGGGAGAAAGATGTGGCAGTATGCTTCCATAAATAGTATAGCCTCGGGGCAGTTCTACCCTGTCCTATAGGGTCACTGTGAGTCAGAATTGACTTGATGGTAATGGGTAACAGGTAAAGGGTGCTTACTCCTAGTGGAGAATGAGGAGAATCCTTACGTTCCGCACATTCTCGTGCCAAGATGGCCTCATAAGCCAGTCTGATCTTTCTCATTTTCCTAGCCTTTGGGACTTTAGAATCCAGTCTTAAATCTGCTATGCAGTTTTTCAGTTGTTTACTTAGGTTGAGTAGTTGAGACAAAGACCGAATGGCTCACAAAGCTAAAACATTTACTACCTACCTTTTATAAAGTATGCCAACCCTTGCTCTAGAGATCACTGTTGTTAGCTGCTGTCAAGTGGGCTCATGACTCATGGTGACCCCATATCCAATGGGATCCATAGGGTTTTCAGTGGCTGATCTTTCCAAAGTAGAGTATCAGGCCTTTTTCCCAGCCTTTCTCAGTCTGGAAGCTCCAGTGAAACCTGTTCAGCATCACAGCAACACGCAAGCCTCTGCTGACAGTCAGGTGGTGGCTGTGCAAGAGGGGCATGGCCAGGAATCAAACCAGAGTCTTCTGGGTGGCAGGAGAAAATTCTGCCACTGAACCAGCACTGCCCATTCTATATCATTAGACCTAGACTTTTTGGTATGTTACTACAATCTCTTTCTAGTTCACTCACTTCTGTTCTCTCTCTCTCTCTCTTTTTTTTTTTTTTGGTATAATCTCTGTAGATGTGGGACTTTGTTCATCTCTAGAAATTAGTGCAGTTTGTTGTTGTTGTTATACTTTCAAACCAGCTTCACCGTGTTTGTTCCTCTGCTGATGATACTCCAGGGAGCCAGAGGACACAGACTGGGCTTGTCCAGTTATAGCTCAGTCTCTGCATGTTCTTCCATCTAATTAAGTAGTTGCTTCTACTTCTATTTCTACGGCTGGATTCAAAATTAGCTTTCAGTTTTTGGCTTTGCCCTTGCACTGCTTGTGCCCTAGGCACTCCCAGTTGATTAGCAGAAGGTCTTTCATATTTTCTCATCACTCACAGATGGTACTGGTAAAAAAGTTTGAGCCATTCTACTTTTCTCTGGAACCTTGGCCAGCAGTTCTACCCTGCAGTCCTAACCCAGCAGTTTGGAATCTTGTCCTTTTTAGCATTATCATTCGACTGTCAAATTAGTCTTGGACCAGTCTCTGTGGCTCCAATTCAGTAAATCAAAAGCTTTTCAAGCAGGGATGGTCTTCTAAAAGCATGTCTCAGCCAGCTTGAACCCCAGAGAAATAAAAACTTCCAAGCCCCTCCTAAAGAAGGGTTTATTGCCTTGGTGTGTGAGCTCATTTCAAATCCTTAAATCCATATTTACTCTCATCCATTTAATTCCAAAAGTACATTCATCACATAAATGTTCCAGCTGTCAGTGCTACATACATGCCTGCTGGGAACCAGAAGTCCTGCTGAAGTATTTCCCTACCCCGCATTTTACTTATAACAAAGAAGATTTAATTTAATTTAGTTAATGAAGAATTATTCTTCAGCTCGTGGTTGATATGTGCTCAAGACTAGCTATGTTTCCACAATATAATCCTTGCCTGAGATCTTTTCCTCATGGCTCTTTCCCCAGGCCCTCTTTCCTCTACAGCCATTCCTATACTTTTTTTTAACTTTGTATTGTGATTTGGGTGAAAGTTTACAGAGCAAATCAGTTTTCCATTCAGTAATTGATACACAGTTTGTTTCATGTAATTGATTTCAATCCTCTCAATGTAACACCATTCTTCCCACCTCCTCTTTGTGTTTCTCGTTCCATTCCTCCTTTGTCTCCTAATCTTTCTTGCCTTCTGAACTTTGTCCTTCGGTGTGTGCTGTCCTTTTGATCACAAATGGTTGATTGTTTTAAGGAGTGTGTATCTTTCTAGAGTTGTTATTCACCCTGTTGACCTACTGTTTGAAAATTCAGCTACAGGAGTGACAGTTCCAGATCTGAAGCGCGACCAAAGGCCAGTCTCGGGGGTTCCATCAGTTTCTGTCTGACCAGTAAGCCTGTTTTTTTTTTTTAAGATTTTGAGTTTTTGCCACATTTTTCTCCCACTCTGTCCAGGACCTTCTACTGTGATCCTTTTCAGAGCAGTTGGTAGTGGTAGTCGGGCACTATTTAGTTCTGGTTTCAGGGTCCTGGAGGCTAAGGTCTGCAAGGTCCATTAGTCCTTTTGATTAATTGTTTTCATGTGTCCTTGATTTTCTTCACTCTTCTTTGGTTGAGATAGGGAGAGACCAATAGTTTCACCTTAGATGGTCTCTCACAAGCTTTTAAGGTACAAGTAGCTACTCACAAAAGGATAATATAAAACTTTGCCTTTGTGGACTATGTTGTGCTTGTTGACCTTGGTGTCCCCTGAGACTATGTCCTGAGTCCCCAGGCCCAATAACTCACTCCCTCAGGCTTTTGGTTATGACAAAGAAGTTCCACCATATTCATGGATATATTTGCGGCATATGTAAATATGTACGTAGAAATATCCTCTGTCAAACCTATATACAGTCCCATTCTCCATCCCATACCTGCTCAGCTTGCATGTCTATGTATATATCCACTCATAATTTATTGATTATTGTTATTACTATCACTGTAGGATTGTATATGGATTAGTATTTATCTCTGTTTCCTTTAAGTCTTGTATTCCTTCCACGATCTTCCTTTCCTCAACCATTTTGTGCTGACCTTCCCCTTGTTGTATATTGCTTTTTCCTTTACCCAAGTTAATATGTGTCTACTATCTAGTTAGTGGTTTACCCTCCTGCCTTAGTTCTCTAGTGCTGCTATAAAAGAAATAGCACAAGTAGATGGCTTTAACAAATAGGAATTTATTCTCTTACAGTTTAGGAGGCTAGAATTCTGAATATAGAATACTGGCTTTAGGGGCTAGGTGAAGGCCCTTCAACCTTGGGCTTCACCTCTGCCTCTTATTCCAGGCCTGCTGGAGCTGGAGGCTTCTCCTAACTCATGCATCTGCTGGCTGCTGAGGCTGATGAACTCAAGATCAGCAGATAAAATGTTACAATCCCAAGATCAACAGGCAACATGGCAGGCCACTGGTGTAAGTTCATGAATTGGAGATGAAGACTCAGCCAAATGCAGGATCCAAATGTGCCCAAAAGCTAGAGACTTTTCCAAAGCTTCTCTATATATGTGGGAAGTAGGCTATACCCCCAAAATAAGATTCCACTATGGAATTCTCATCATGGGGATAACTACATCCAGCTGCCAAGCCACTCAAAACCATGGCCTAGGCAAACTGACACACATCTTTAACTACCGCACTTCCCTTCCTCTCCCACTCCTGGTAATATCAAAGAATATTTCTTTTTGTGTGAAAACTGTTTCTTGACTTTTTACAATAGTGGTCTCATAAATATTTGCCCTTTTGTGATAGCCTATTTTCACTTAGCATAATGTCCTCTAGGTTCATCCATGTTATGAGATGTTTCACAGATTGTTCTTTAACATTGGGTAGTATTCCATTGTGTGTATGTACCATAGTTTGTTG